CGGACGTTAGATTCATCATTGGTCTACGCTTGCTGCACTTTTAAAAATAAGATTCAGGACAGTATTCACCGTGTCGAGCAGTCGGAACCCGTTTTACATTATACCTGCTGTACATTTCGGACCACCTCTTGATGACCGCTACTGACCAGGTTGGAAGATGAATAGTCCTCTGCACAGCAGCTTCAGTTGCTTTGGTATTTTGGATTCGCGTTATCAGTAATGTATGTGCCGTCCACTGGACAGGTTCTGGTAAGGCTACCTCTAGACGCTTATTCTTTATAAATCTTTTTATTGTGCCTGCCTATGCTCTAATTGACTGAAGTTAGGCTGGTGTAAAGTACCCCTTCTGCTCGGATATGGCGCTCTCCTTTAGTTGAAGCATAACCTCATGCAGCCATCGTAGGCAATAATGTGGACATCCAGGACGTGAGGCTGAGTGTCGTTAAGGTAGCAGCTTTGGAATAGCATCATATCGCTCGAATAATGGCGGACGGCTGTTGCAACCGTGCACTGAACATAAGCTATTTTTAGCCAGCACTAGTTATATACATCGTGCGCGTTATTGTTAATTTCGGCGCCCTCCTTCTCCAAATCAGACCAGGTCTTAGATAGACCACACAGCTGTTAGTTATAGATGGTGGGACTCCATTTAGGATTGTCATTCACTTCGAAGCACAGGCTGGGATACAGATTGTGCTTTGCCGTTCAATTTTTAATTTTGCTGGGCAACGACTCCACCAACAGCAGCTGGCTTTTGAGAAACTGACCAGGACGTCTATAAAACAAAAGTACCAACTTTGCCAAGAATGCAAACATAGCAGTTCTCACTCCATAAATCATAATACATCCTGTACCCAAGTCTCACAGGTCAGAGGCGGGTGCTACAGCATGCTCTACGGTGGTTTTTGAGCCAAACAAACATCGGATCTCCGAGACTCCTCGAGTTGATGGGCCGCAGACGGAACTGCAGTTCATAAAAACTAATTCGAGAAATGTATTCGTAGGTGACCGAAGCGCAGCCTGATCGTCGATTCAGACGCTTGGCTAATGGGGAAAGTTAATAAGATGAAAATCGCCTTCGCTTCAGACAACACCGACAAACTGTTCAAGCTTATCCGTGTTGCTAGTCCAGGAGGACCTTCTGTCAGTTTATCGGCCATACAAACGGCAGACTCATCCATGTTGTATTCAGAGGGTGAAAACACTGAGCCGAACACTTTGAGGGTCAGGTTGGCTGGCCTTCTACCTACAGTGTTTTAACTCTGTGAACTTACGAACGTAGTATACTGGTCAATAAATGTAGGACCAGCCAACAAGACTGAGGTCAACAGCTGCGCTCCGTCTCTCAAACGCAGTAGAGTAGCTGGCTCAGTTGATCTCGTATGAACATTTTTCAAAAAGTTCCAGAAATGTAGTTAAAGGCCCTGACTCACTTGTTTCAACTTGTGCAACAGCAACTCTCTCTGCTGATGTCAGTCAGTAATATTTCTATTGTCCAGGAAGGGAACAAATGATTCCAGTAGAAACCATAGGGTGATTAGGTTGACTCCAGCCATTACTGGGATTCTGGCATTAATTATACTGTGTCAGCTCACTGCAACTGGGGAGGCAGACATTAGGGAAACCAGACAAGGTTTCGCTCCGTAGGAGATTTTCACTTTTAGCCCATATCTGAAACAGCGTCGTACGTACCACCGAGCAACAGTTGCTGTATTTCTTGACTATGGAGGTGTGCTCGATTCATTGGATCGATCTACAATTTTAGGGTCGCTTAAACGCAGGTGTGTACAGATCAAGTATGTGAACATACAGCCGGCTCTTTATTCTCATAAATCGGTTCAGGTTAGGATTTATGGTGAACTGTCTGACAGTTTCAACACCAACAACAGCGTACGTTGAAGCTGTCCACTTTCACTATCTTTGTTTAATTTTAGCGTATACGAAGTGAGCGAAGACTGTTTGTTGTTTCACGCAATCTCAAATGTTCCTGGATGTGCTTTGCAATCTCAAAGTGCACAGTATCTCCGAAATATTGCTGCAGTTACATAGAGTTGATGTTGGATAATGAAGTTATGGAAATTGTTGATCGGTTTATGACTTTAAGAAGCTGTATCAGCAGAGGATGAAGCACTGGGGATAAAACAGACGTTAGTGCATACAAGACTAGAGCGATATCCGCCAATCTTGCAGATCTCTGACGAAAGACAGTTATCTCTCTGAGACTCGAGGATCACGTATATAAGGCGACAATGACAGTTGTATTAATTCAGAGCTGCGAAACTTGGTCACTCTTGGTAGAATACGTTAATCATTCTCAGGTATTTGATCGTCGATGGTTTTGTTCTAAGGTTGGCACTGAATGGCACTAAGGGGTAAGCAACGAATAGGTTTCTAAGCGGGTAGTTGGTATGAGTTATTTTGTCCAAGCTTCCTGTTTACACAAATCTATGTCTAGTTGGGTCACGTGCTAAGAATACCAGCAAGTCGTTCGCTATTTCAACCATCTTTTATGGATGCTACGGTGGACTTATGTTGGGTGCAATGTGTGCAATTGTGTCCTGGCTTGGAGAAAGGATGTCGTTCACCAAGCGCTCGGGTTAGTTTCTGAGCTGTAACTGTTGCTGTTTATTGAGCTAATTGTTGGCAATTATGGATGATGATGACAAATCTAGTTCACTGATTCTAATGTTTTCGTTGTTTGTTTGCAAGGTGCAGGCTGTATGTGGATGAATATACAGATGTAGACGTAGCTACTCCTAGTAACCAGGGTCACTTCATTTCAGTTTTTGTTCATCTTGATGATGTAATGTTGTCTATGATGACCATAATTGTGATTACAATGCTCAATAGGATGATGGTGTTGACGACGGTGATGATGTTGATATTATAATGAGGACGACAGTGTTAATAATGATGAAACTGATGATGACGGTGATGTTAGTGTTGATCAGTTGTTGAATCGTTGCAATTTTTCAACTAAGTCTACAGCAGCAGGTTATTTATGAATTTCATAATTTGTCAGACCAAACGGTATGAGCTGAGTGGCACGTAAGTTTGGCTTTTTTCATATTGTATTCTTTCAGCTCATCTTTACTTCATTGTTCTATTCTTTTGAGATGCTAGTGATCTGTGAAAATCCCATGTGAAATTTTCGTCTTCATAGGTCAAAACGTTTACAAGTGAAGTACAGCTCACGTACCATTCCTAGTCCTTTTACATCGAAGAATGAGCAGCCGATTGGGTGGAAGTTTGAAGACCCTGGAGTGTACTTAGATCAAGAATCTTGCACAAAACCGGACCTTCTAACTCCGCACATTTGTCAGTCCGCTACGGATACTCACCCACGTCAAACAATCTCAATGATTGCCCACTTCGTAAGTGACAAAGGGTCTACTTGTAAATTTTATTGTCCCGTTTGTCGTATCCGTACATATAAACAACGTTTCATTGCATCATTGCAAGAGCGAAAATCCTACAATTCACTCTCACAGACCGAGAGTATTATCGTTTCAAAACAAACTCAGATATTTGACTTCTCGATATAAAATAGTAGACTATATTGATCTAATGTGAGAAAGCCTTTGATGATTGAGTATCTCCAGTTTGTCTGTATATCATACGTTTTGCATCTTCTAGTTGCACGATGTTGTCACAAGACTAATACGACTCTGTATTTGCGCTCATCACTGATGATGAATCGTTAAAGTAAGTCAAGATATGTATTCACGGTACGAGCTATAGCTATGCTAATAAAACAACCAATGAGATTACAAGTGGCCTTTGCCAACACATGCCATCTGTTGCGTCAGTACGTCCTCAGTCGTTTTTGAAAGGTCGAGTATATACTGCCACTGATTCATCACGCGGGTACAAAACCTGGACAATCTTTGCAGAAGGTCCTCAAGAAGTGTCATTTTTCAACCATCAGTGTCTTTGCAACATTGTTGGCGTGTGGTAGGAACAACGCATCTATAATAATGAAACTAACCGACATGTATGCCGTGTATGTCAACTCTTGAACAAAATGAACTCTGCTCAGAAGGTCCTTTGAAGTGAATAGATTTTAAGGATGTCAACTCGTAGCGTATCACACATTGACTTGTTTGCGAGTGCTGTTTTGGGCTAAAGGTGGCCGCCTGGTAGTCAGCTTACGTTCCGGGGATGAAGTCTCTGACAATCATTGTTGTTTCACTGGGGCGTCCCTAGCTTACTGGCTCAAATCCATAGAATAATGAGCACATTCAGCTGAGGACGCTGTCTGTTATGGAGAATAATAGAAGTCAATGACACTTGCGTGTAACCGAAGCAATTTTTCCCATCTAAACCCTTCTACTTTAAGTCTGTTATGTAGACATACATGTTAACTTGTCTGCAATGTGACTGTGAAGCCGAGCGTTAATTCACATTGTAATCTAGCAGCAAGAACGGAGTATAGGCTAATGCTTTCTGTTTCATCTTCAGCCAAAATAAACCACAGTGACCCTGGGTCCCGCACTCGTCATCTGCTACATAGCACGTTATATAATACATTGGTTTGAGTCTACTGAAAATAACGACGGATTGAGTGTGTAGATGGGTATCTGTACACATCCAGAGTTTCTATAGCAGGATTAGGTGATCAAACTCAAAACACAACTAATTTGTAAATACTCCCTACAGGGTGTGAGTACTGTCCTTTATGACAACAAGGTTGTTAAAGATAGCCAGCTTAACAACTGTTTCTCATGATCCTATCTTATTCAATTAACCTGAATTACGCAGTTAATCGGTACGCTGAATATCTTCGATATTTATTTGCCTTTTTCTAGTTTACAGTTCGAAGTGGGACTGTCTTTTGTTCGTACACGTTTATACACTTTATCGGTAGAATACTACAAACTATTGCGACTCATGTAGTTCACCATGGAACTTTTGAAACACATATTGTTTCCGAGAAAAAAATATGTGGACAGATTTCACAACCTGAGGCTACACGATTGAGACGCAACTGTGAAAATTCAGGGCTTTGGCTGGATTCGAACCAGGAACACCATTCCTCTACGCGGCACGCGTTCTACCAGGTGAACTACAAAGCCACGCCAGGAGTTCGGAAATTTCACAGTTGGGTCTCATCTAAAATCATTAATCTGCCAAACTACTCATTAGTGCCACACAATTGATCACGAAAAAGGAATGGAACAACCCGGAGTATGCCATCATTTTCTAAATTACTGCTATGATTTGTGTTAGCAAACGACCTTGACAAAATTAGTTATTTCCGTTTTGACTGGCGTAATCCATTCGCTAAACTGATTCTGGTTGTATACATCGGGGCCATTCGTTTCTGTAATGACCAGGTTATTATTCTAATTGTATCCGTTATTTCATGACTTTTTTTCGGAAACTATTAATCACTTAACCACTATTTATTTTAAGATTTCTCGTGATAGTTATTATTTTGCGAGGAAATCCGACTGGTGCAATTTTGCATTATTTAGTCGATATGATAATTTTCTGATTGACGAGAGTGCATGGATTGATATCATCTATCAATTTTCACCTCGTTGTTTAAGTCTGAAAATTACTCCATTGATTTCCATGTGTTACCTACTGTTCTGTGAAACTAAGACGTATGTCTTTCTAATTGAAGTTTCTAGATCAGAAGTTGATTGGAATGTATGAATAACCAATCAGTTACATAGAGGAATTGCGCAATCAGTCCACAGAGAGCTACTGAAGGTTATCATCTGGACGACAACAATGCGCGGTGTATTATACTCATTACATTCCACTGTTATTTGCTTAAAGTCGATAGAATTTTTGTGTAATGGTACAAACAACTCGGCACAGTCAACTGATTTTACAGCTCAATTTTCAAGACGAATAAAGCCAGAAATTCTTTATCCGAGTGTGGACTGTGCACATTTACCATCAGAAGCAAATTCTATCACAAGTGGTATCAAGTTTCTAAGAACTTGTTCTGTGACTGAATTCTAGTGGGATAGTACATAGCACACAGTTAGTCGCAAACTGTAGTCGAGCCCATTCCAACTGTCGACTCTAATTCCATGATAAATCATCGAGAGAAGGAACACATCATTGACCAACTTTACTTTCAGAAGTACGATGACTGCATAGAAATAAAACACTTCCACTTAACACATTGATACCACAATTCTAATTTTGGCTTTTTTAAAATGATTACATTTTTGGTTGTTTTTCAAATACCTGAAGGCGTTTCATATTTTCATTCAAAACGTGCTCCTGATATATTCACTATGACAGCTCCTTTGCTGCCAGATTGTATTGATCCCGACAAGACCTTGACTCCACTCCCAGCCTCGTTCACTTTTTCACGTTTTCATTTTCCTACAAATTACATCAAACTGTTATCCGAGTGTGAGCTATCTTCCAACTAGCAGCATAAAGTGCATTTCATTTCAGCATTGGTCAGTTGCAGGTGACACTAGGTGTTACCGGTCCGGTACCATCTGTTTATACCAAATGTTGACAATTGATGAGAGATTCTAATGGATGTAAGTTGAACATTATTCACAGTTGATCGCAGCTGTCACATTCCTCCATACTCTCCGGTCATCAGCTTTCGGAAAGGAACACTAGAAGTGTTTCGTTCTTGCTAGGGGCCATCAATAGCACATATCCTTTCTAAAGCCAGGAATAGAATTTTGACTACGCTTTCATGAAGCAGTCTTGTGGATAAATGTGCCACCGACCCAAAATTTAACACACGACTGAACTATTATCTGCAAACCATTGGCCACATTAAATTTGAATAATACTCAGAGTGTCCGACCGTCTTGAAATGAGATATGGTAAATGTCTTGTTAACTAACCTCCAAAACTTCAACTGAAATTGAATTAACAGAAGTCACTAACTATCGGACGATATTCTGGTTACTGGTGAATAGTAAGGGATTTTAGTTAGTTAAATTGGTGAAGTTTAGTGCAGTGGTGGCTTTAGTTCATGATGAACTAACGGTTTGAAAATTCAACAGTACTAAAACCTATTTCCATTAGTAATCAACTGCAGAATTGAACAAGTAACACCTTGAACTTGCCGAGAAAACTCCTAGTACCATGTCTGCAAGAAAACTAACGGTTGGTTATGATGAAATTACCAAGGTGTGACGACTTATGAAGATTAATCTATCGTCTCCTCCAGTATGTAGTTTGGGGTTACCTACTCCATCGATTCTGAATGAGTTGAAAACCATCACCCTCCTTCGCGTTCTGTTGAAATATGTAAATTCTATTCTACAGTGTGAGAATGACCTATCCTGTGATAAAGAATGCTGATTTTTCGAATGCGCGTACGTCATAACCCTTATGGTTCTGCTTAATAAGTTACTAGTGATAAGTTTGTCACTGTGTGCGTACTATCTATTCAGCTGCTTTTGTTAAACGGACCTATTCCTTCCATTCGTCTTTATGGTTTGTGCGGTAGTCGTTAATGAGCGAAAATCCAACGACTTTCTAATGTATGTCTTAAAATGTTCGGGTCGTGAATGTGTCGGTTAAACAATACGATAAACTGTAAGCTTGTGTGCGGTGTTACTTTAACACTGTACATTCGTACGGTTAACACTACAACTTTCTGTGGAGGGCACTTATATAGTCGATATTGCTAAGCAGTAGTCTGTACTTTTCACCATCATTTTTGCAAATTTTAACCACCGTCTCCGTGTAGAACCACGGGACCAACAGTTTCTTCGAATGTTTTCGGATTAAAAATTATTACCGCGATAAGGCGATGGTGTCGTGTTGCGAATTTTGCATTTATATGAAAACATTCCAGTTTCTGAAATCACGCTGAAATACTGAAATGCGTCCGGTTTTTTACTGTACTCAAGTGAGCCCACAAAAATGCACAAGCAAAATCAAAGCTATGGCCTACGGAATGAGCTCACGTGCACATGGGTTGCCGACTTACATTCGACGAAGTTACTTGATTTGCTGGCCAGCAGTGTTCAGGTCACTTCTACGGCTTCGAGATTCCTTTGTTTGCTAGTGGTCTAGGTCAATTTTAGTGCAAATCGGGTTGATTTGTGTTGTGATTAAACAGATTCAGAACTCGGTTTCGAGGTAAAACTTTCTTATCACCATAGACGTTAGACCTGGGTTTTATTGAGAATTCAACGCTCACCACCTCTCAACAAGCGGTAGCAATTCACTTAATGCTTCTTCACATGTGTACAAACAGACTACTGGTCAATGTGTGTGATAAAACCATCACATCCGAATGTTCGGCATTAGCAAATTCTTAGTTGATCATTCAAATGGGCTGAGTTGGTAAGGTGACTATCTTTACATACAGAACAGTAGCCACTGTAATGTAGCCCTAATGTTCCGTTCATGTAACATGATTGCTCATTACTGCGATACTGCGGGATATTTGTTGCATGCAGAAGGAAACGATTAGGACTGTCTAGCGAAGTTGTTGACTCAGTAGCTAATGTATTAGACAATTTGTTGAAGTTGTTTGCCATTCACCTATTTGGTTGCGCCGTATAAATACCCTGATGTTGATTATTTGAGTTCCGACGTAGTGTACTTCTGGTGGATTGAATCCTGTTTCGTTTTTATGGAAGTTAATCTGGCCTATGATATACTGACAGTGGTGAACTAGTTAACACTGGCGATTATGATGCTCATGCGTTTGACTCCAGTTCTTTTTCTGCTCAATGTGGGTTAAACTGTCTATCAGAACGAGAATATATATTATCATTAAACTCTGTCATCATTAATATTCGAGTCTGGTGTGTTTTCCTTGTATCACTCAGTTGAAGTGTTCATTTGCATTCGAAACCTGAATGACTGAAGTTGGTTTTCAGAATGCAGTTATCGAAACTGATCAAGCAGAAGAAAGTGTATTTTTTCTGTTACACACATGTCTGTGGAACTGTTTAGTTCCGAAGCGTTACTTTTTTTTCTTATGCCCCGTTTATCGTGCACATGTTTGGAAGTAGTCTTTTTAACAGGGACCTACTTCAAAAGCATATTTTCTCATGTTCAACAATTTTGTAACACCCATCGTAAAAGGATTTATTCGATAATTTTTGTATCAAAGCAGTGATAGAACTGATTTGCTTCATTCTTTCTTTCTGATGTCATCAGTGTTCGAAATGTGCGGCACCACACTCCACCACTAGCTACGAGAACTTGAACCATTCCTATCGTCCTTGTTACTCCAGCATCGAGGAAGGACGTTACGCGATTAGTCTTCCTAGTTTGCATAATGACTCAAACAAGACTGTCGAGAGGCAATCGAAGTCTTATCGTCACACCGAGAAATGGGGCAGATTGTGCCACGATGTTTGGGAAATCTCCGAGAAACAGTAAGCTTTGTTGGTAGTGTTATACTGTTTTAAATCCAGCTCGTATATACTGCTGATTTAGATGTCTCTTCTGATGATTCCTTCAAATCGAACCTTTAACGTCACTCCAATCGTCATCATTATCGTCACCATGGTTCTCCACAAGCTAAAAAATATAAATTATAATGAGAATGATCTCCATTTCTCAGCCACTTCTTATCCATCATCATCATCATCATCATCATCATCATCATCATCATCATCATCATCATCATCATCATCATCATCATCATCATCATCATCATC